ACACACACACACACACATTAATAACCCAAACGCCTATATTACATGACATGTCACTTGTTAGACGCTTTTATGCAAAGCGACTTACATACTCAGTACTGTGGGCAATCACCACAGGAGCACTTTGGGGTGAAGTGTCTCAGGGACACAACGACATGCTGACTGCAGTGGGGTTTGAACCTGTGACCCCCTGATCCGAACACCAACGCACAACCCACTGCACCACACGCCTCCCTATGGACAAAGAACAAATCATCATCGCCATGTCCACATGTTAGTTTTAGAGTGGTGCAGGAATGAGTCATACAACCTGGGAATGAGTTAGCATTTCATCCCAAGCTAAATAGATTTTTACTTTAAAAATGATACATTTGTGTTAATATGTGGAGATTATTCCGCTTAACAAAACGTGTGTTCGATATTACTTTCTGCAGGAGCAGTGGCGATCCTAGAGTCGGTGGGGGCCCTAGGCAAACATTCACTGGGGGCCCCTCGAACCAGCTTTTCATCACCACGCACAGCCGACAGCACGGCAAGGCAACGAAACTTAAAATAAGAAGCAGCATTTTACGGCGCGCTAAGCATGGGGCGCCTTGAGGGGGTTTCCCGACATGTCGTTGCAGTAAATTAAAGGGTGTTTCATGTTGTCGTTGCTGTGGACCTTCTTAATCTACCTTCTTTGGGGGCCCTCTTCTGCTCCGGGACCCCAAGCAGTTGCCTGCCTTGCCTGTTCGCAAGGAGCGCCCCTGAGTAGGAGTGGGTGTGGATGTGAACCTCACAACGGTACCTTTGATTTGACGGATAATAAATAAAAAAGTGAAAGTGTTTTTGTACGAAGCAGCAGGGGTATCCTGTGTCAGCAGTTAGAGCTTCTTCACTGAAGTCAACATCTCTATCTATTATTAACAGAGCAGAAATCTGCCCCTCGTCAATAATGCAGAGAGCTGAGAGGACGGGAAAAGTTAGGAAGAGTTTTCCTGTTTGGATGGAGCTCAGTTTCCTCTGCTGTGAAGACATTTATTTTAAACTGAGGACCGTATTAAATTGATTTATGTTCCACTTTCCAGAAATCTCTTTCCTTCCTAAACATAAACTGAGATCCCTATAAAGGGACATTTTTCAAAAAAGGTTTTCAATCATTATCTGAACTTCCCAAAAATCGCTTCACTTGCAAGAAAATGTGTTCACTTCCCGAACAATTGGCCCAAAACGTTCCTGACATCCAAAGAATGGCTACACTTTTTTAAAGGTCACCTATCATGCTATCTGTAGGCAATAGCATAGGTCTCAGATATATAACAATATATAAAAAACATGTCTATGAAGTGTTTTGCTCAAGATACCAAACAGATCATTCTAGCCATGCCTCATATCCCTCTATTTCACTTCCTGTTTCTAAAGTGCTGATTTGGGTATAAAGCTTTAAAGAAATAAAAAGGAGGGGGTTGAGCTCATGCGGGACCCGGCAGCTACTGTCTAAACTAAATGCTGCCGTGATGAAACGCCATATCATGGATTATCAAGGATTCTCTCTGAAACAGTATGGAGCTCAAAGGCTTTCTCTCTTGCCGGTTATACCACAAGGTGAGTTCCTTTTTATTTCCTGCTTCTTCACACACATGCTCTCCAGTACAGGTTAGCTCTGAGTGTTAGCGATGCTAATGTAAACACCGACCATATTACGTCCAAAACAGTCGGGCATTGTTTCTGATAGCAACGTTTCTGATAGGGCCGTGGGTCCACATTTCAGATATTACGTCATATCGGACGCTAATCTGGATCAGCTCCGTTGTTCCCCCGTTTTTAGAGATTTGGGTACGGAGGAAAAGAGAGAGGGTTTTATTTCCTGGCGCTGCGTGAGTTCCCCGACACACCGGGGACACACCGGGGACACACCGGGGACACACCGGGGACACACCGGGGGACACACCGGGACACACCGGGGACACACCGGGGGACACACCGGGGACACACCGGGGGACACACCGGGGACACACCGGGGACACACCGGGGACACACCGGGGGACACACCGGGGGACACACCGGGGACACATGGTGATGTAGAGAAGACATCAAAAAGTGCATTTTGCATGATAGGTCCCCTTTAAAATGTCTTCACTCTACAAAAAATGCTCCACTTACAAAATGTCCTCACTTCCCAAAAAATCTGACAAAAGAAGATGATAGGAACGTACTACCAAAACATGTCTTCACTTCCAAAGATGTCTTCACCTTCAACACAAATTACATCCACTTCCAAAAAATGTATCTCAAAATATCATCCATTTTAAAAAGATCTTCATTCTCCGATGTCCTCCTTTCCAAACAGTAAATCACAGTCAGTGGCCACCGTGTCATGTGACCCCAAATTACACGATGAACTCAATAATTAAGTAATTACCGGGGGAACAAAGTGAGCCTCCATCTTTCCTGTCTGTGAGAGCATCATGGAGACTGAACCGGTCCATCTGCTGGTTCCGCTGATGTCATTAAGACCTCGTTAACCTCGTTAACCTGCTAATGAGGAGAAGTGTAGCATAATGAGCGCCGCCAGAAGCTAACAGGGAGATAGATACAGGATGCTACTGTACATAAACACATCAACACATCAACACATCAACACATCAACACATCAACACATCAACACATATCCTGCTTCTTCTCCTTCTTCTTCTGTGGTGTTTTCTTTTGATGGAGCTGCTAACAGGTTGTTTTAGTCTTGCTGTTCTGATCAGCTGTAAAAGAAACACCCAGAATCCTCTCTGAATGTGAGCAGCTTGTTCTTACCTGTCTCCGACCGGAGGGCTTCTGCTTTATTAATGTTTGGGGGCGGGTTGTTCTGAGGTTCTGCAGAATATAAAACATATTTTATTCATCGCTGCTGTGCTCTGAGCGGTTTCCTGTCCCCTGAAGAAGAACATGAATATGTGGGGGTGTTTGTGACAGATCGATGTTGTTCTCCGTCGTGTCGCTGTCGATTCACATCCAACTTTAAAGACAGGAAGGTGGAGGGAAGATGGAGTCTGTGTGTGTGTCAGTAATCAGGACACAATTTATAATTATAAAAGACAGCAGAGATTTAGTGAATCCTTTCATTATGCATATTAATAACACAGGAACACTTTCATTTACATTACTCAGTGGTGGGAAGCAAATAACCTTTACTCAAGTACTGCACTTAAATAACATGTTGAGGTACTTGTGATTTACTTGAGTATGTCCATGTTATGCTACTGTGTTCTACTCCTCTACAGTTCAGAGGTAGATGGTGCACTTCTCCTCCACTCCATGTATTTAATCCCTTTAGTTACTTTACAGATCTGGATTAATGATGTGAAATATAATCATGTATTAAAGGTTTCCTATCATGCAAAATGCACTTTTTGATATATTTTATACATAAAGATGTGTCCCCGGTGTGTCGGGGAACTCACGCAGCGTCAGAAAATAAAACCCTTTCTCTTTTCCTCCGTACCCAAATCTTTTAAAAACGGGGCTACAACGAGCTGATACAGATTTGCTGCCGATATGACGTAATATCGGATTGGCTAACACTCAGAGCTAACCTGTACTGGAGAGCACGTGTTTAAAAAGCAGGAAATAAAAAAAGGAACTCACCTTGTGATAAACCCGCAAGAGAAAAAGCATTTGAGCTCCATACTGTTTCAGAAATAATCCTTGATGTGGTTTAGAACAGGATGGCGTTTTATCACAGCAGAATTTAACTTTATCTCCGGTAGAATTCTGATCAGGCATTAGCTCCGCCTCCTCTTTTCTTTTCTTTTGGAGCTAAGGACCCAAAATCAGCGTTTCTCTAACAGCTGGAATAGAGGGGTTTGAGGGATTTCTAAAATGCATGATCTGTTTGTATTTTGAGCAAAACACATCATAGACATGTTTTTATATATTTTTTTATATATGACACCCATAATATATGCCTAAAAATAGCATGATAGGTGACCTTTAAATCAGACTTTAGTTCCACCTGGAGTAAATTCACAAGCGACCCTGCAGTATACTGACATTGTTGAGTGTGAGATTTGATGTGCACGTTCTGCCCTCTGCAGGAGACACTGTGAAAACACTCAAACCATATTTAAATAATGATGCATTATCCAGGCAGTACTGACACTGGGCTGCAGGGGGAACCAAAAGCTAAGTATTGATATTTATAGTCTATTAGCTGTCAGAGAGAAATTATGACAGGGGTGTCAAACTCAAGGCCCGGGGGCCAAATCCGGCCGGTGACTTCATTTAATGCGGCCCCACAAGAGCTCTGAAAGAATATAATATGTTTATATGGTTACATGCCGATTTACGGAAGCACGTTGCCCATAAACTACATGTCCCACAATGCATCTCAAATATGACTTTTTTTTCAAAATGTCACTTTTTAAAATATTTATTTAGACTTTTTTTCCAGAATTTTTCTTTTCTTTTAAAATCATTTTGTGACATTCTCATTGAAGAGACTTGCAATTATTTGCCCCAGGCGTAGTTAATTATGAAGTTATTACCCTATCCGATAATAATCCAATGCAGAGGCAATAATGTAATATAATACATTATTTTATATATATTATATATGTATTTTTATATAGTCTTAAAGTTACAACCGGCCCTTTGAGTGCAACCATAATGCTAATGTGGCCCGTGATGAAATTGAGTTTGACACCCCTGAATTATGAGGACCAATCTGACCAATAAACTGGTATCTGAACATGACTGAGCAGCAGCTGGTTAGCTTAGCTTAGCATACACACTGGAAACAGAGGGAAACAGCTAGCATTCACCTTGTTTAAAGCAAACACAAATCAATAAGAATCAAATATGTGTATAAAACACAATGGATGATGAAAGTATAACAAGCAGTTATCGTACATTTAATGGAATCAACTTTTTAGTAAAGTGACATTTTTCATTCTTCCCCCACCCCCCCCCCCCCCCCCCCCCCCCCCCGCATCAGTTTATGGACTCACACGTTAAAAAGACATCAGACTTCATTTTGATTTGCTTAGTTTTTATTTTTGTTTCTGCAGAATGAACACAGACAGTGAGCAGGTGTGTCATCAGATTTATATTCAACACTAACAGTAAATGTGAACGAACAGCTGACATTTATCTAACACGTTAACCAGATCATTCGATTCGAGCTCCATTCAGACTGCGGTGGATTTTCAAGCCTTTGATTGTTTGTTATTATCAATCACTTTATTTTTTCATACTCTCGCTGCTAATTCAAAACAAATTCTTACCATGTATTGAATTGTATTAATGTGTGCTTCCCTCCTAATTCAATATGTTAGCTATACCTACTGTGTCTACCTTTTCATCTGTTCCCTTTAACATTTCTCAGGGACGGAAAATTGAGGATTTCTGATTCAGATTATTTTAAACTGTCTCCATTCAAAGTCTGCTAAATTCTCTTTAAGCAGTAACATGTTGAACATAAGGTATTCAAACCCTCACTCACTCAATTATAAATACTAAAAGTCACACTTGATGAGATCAGATTTTTATATATGTGTGTGTTGAATTTCAATAAGTCATCAAAAGGGAGATTTTGTGTCATCATGGTTTAAGAATAAATGAAATGATATGTGAGCACGGTGAGGCTCCTCCCGTCTGAATGGAGCTGGAACCCTCATGTTTTTCTGGACCTACAGATATTGGATCTAAAGTCTACCCGGTGTAGGGAAACCTGAGGAGCGCGGCCTGCTGGGGGCCGAGCCGCAGCTCCTTCAGGTCCACGCTGCTGTCGCCGGGCAGAGCGCTGCTGTTGGTGCTCAGCACGACGACCGCCTGCGGAGGAAGAGCCGCGTCGACCAGCTGCAGCACCGCAGACTCTGATGCAGCGAAGTTAAAGGCCGCCACGTAACGCTCGCTCTGATCCCACACACGCAGGAACGCCAGCGAGGAGGAGGAGGAGGAGGAGGAGGAAGAGGAGTTAGAGAGCAGCAGAAAGTCTCCGAACATCAGAGAGCGCTCCTTCACTCGCAGCTCGCTCAGAGTCCGGAAGAATCTGCGGAGCGACAGGCGCTCGACTCGCTCCTCCTGTAAAGAGAGGAAGAGGAGGAAGTCAAGAAGATGAAAGACTATAATAGATGTCTGAAATAAGGTCTGTGGTTAGCACACACTGAAGAGATTCACATTTTCTTATTCCATGACATTAAATACGTCAGTTAGCCACCTTTAGCTTAGCGGTGGTGACGTGAAGTCATGTGACCGTGCTGTAGTTCCTTTATAGCCCAACATTAGCCACCTTTAGCTTAGCGGTGGTGACGTGAAGTCATGTGACCGTGCTGTAGTTCCTTTATAGCCCAACATTAGCCACCTTTAGCTTAGCGGTGGTGACGTGAAGTCATGTGACCGTGCTGTAGTTCTTTTATAGCCCAACATTAGCCACCTTTAGCTTAGCGGTGGTGACGTGAAGTCATGTGACCGTGCTGTAGTTCCTTTATAGCCCAACATTAGCCACCTTTAGCTTAGCGGTGGTGACGTGAAGTCATGTGACCGTGCTGTAGTTCCTTTATAGCCCAACATTAGCCACCTTTAGCTTAGCGGTGGTGACGTGAAGTCATGTGACCGTGCTGTAGTTCCTTTATAGCCCAACATTAGCCACCTTTAGCTTAGCGGTGGTGACGTGAAGTCATGTGACCGAGCTGTAGTTCCTTTATAGCCCAACATTAGCCACCTTTAGCTTAGCGGTGGTGACGTGAAGTCATGTGACCGTGCTGTAGTTCCTTTATAGCCCAACATTAGCCACCTTTAGCTTAGCGGTGGTGACGTGAAGTCATGTGACCGTGCTGTAGTTAGTTTATAGCCCAACATTAGCCGCCTTTAGCTTAGCGGTGGTGACGTGAAGTCATGTGACCGTGCTGTAGTTAGTTTATAGCCCAACATTAGCCTCCTTTAGCTTAGCGGTGGTGACGTGAAGTCATGTGACCGTGCTGTAGTTCCTTTATAGCCCAACATTAGCCTCCTTTAGCTTAGCGGTGGAGACGTGAAGTCATGTGACCGTGCTGTAGTTCCTTTATAGCCCAACATTAGCCACCTTTAGCTTAGCGGTGGTGACGTGAAGTCATGTGACCGTGCTGTAGTTCCTTTATAGCCCAACATTAGCCACCTTTAGCTTAGCGGTGGTGACGTGAAGTCATGTGACCGTGCTGTAGTTCTTTTATAGCCCAACATTAGCCACCTTTAGCTTAGCGGTGGTGACGTGAAGTCATGTGACCGTGCTGTAGTTCCTTTATAGCCCAACATTAGCCACCTTTAGCTTAGCGGTGGTGACGTGAAGTCATGTGACCGTGCTGTAGTTCCTTTATAGCCCAACATTAGCCACCTTTAGCTTAGCGGTGGTGACGTGAAGTCATGTGACCGTGCTGTAGTTCCTTTATAGCCCAACATTAGCCACCTTTAGCTTAGCGGTGGTGACGTGAAGTCATGTGACCGTGCTGTAGTTCCTTTATAGCCCAACATTAGCCACCTTTAGCTTAGCGGTGGTGACGTGAAGTCATGTGACCGAGCTGTAGTTCCTTTATAGCCCAACATTAGCCACCTTTAGCTTAGCGGTGGTGACGTGAAGTCATGTGACCGTGCTGTAGTTCCTTTATAGCCCAACATTAGCCTCCTTTAGCTTAGCGGTGGTGACGTGAAGTCATGTGACCGTGCTGTAGTTCCTTTATAGCCCAACATTAGCCTCCTTTAGCTTAGCGGTGGTGACGTGAAGTCATGTGACCGTGCTGTAGTTCCTTTATAGCCCAACATTAGCCTCCTCTAGCTTAGCGGTGGTGACGTGAAGTCATGTGACCGTGCTGTAGTTCCTTTATAGCCCAACATTCAATTTTACTTCTGGAGATTGCATTAAAACTTCAAAAATCATAAAGTGTTTTTTGCCACAGAGATTATTTTCCTGCAATATTCCAAATTGGAAAGCTTTTTGTTCTGGGAGCCATCATAGCTTCCTGATTGGTCTACAAAAACACGTCATCATGCATAACTCTCCTTCTGATATCTCTGGTACGTCTACTGGCTTCCCTTCACCTCTCAGTTCTCATGTGACCTTTAGTTATAACAAGAGGCGGTTTCTCCATCTTTAGTTTCTTTACCTGTAGAGTCCCGTTCAGCTCCTCTTCAGAGTCCCAAAGCATTCTGGGAAACTTGGTGTCCTTTAGCACAGATAATAAAATGTCAAGATCAATTACAAATCATCAAGTTTAAATAGCTTTTGGGAAATATCTAGAAAGGTATTATATCTGACCATATTCTATAGATCCGAACACACACGCACACACACACACACACACACACACACACACACACACACACACACACACACACACACACCACACACACACACACACACACACACACACACACACACACACACACACACACACCACACACACACACACACACACACACACACACACACACACACACACACACACACACACACACCTCACTTCACACCTCAATGATGTAAACAAAGACATAACAAGTGTCCTCACCTCGTCCATCAGGCCGATCTCGTCCCCGTAGTTGAAGACGGGGGTCCCGGGCAGCGTGAGCAGCAGCAGCTGGTGGAGCCTGAGCAGCGCCGCCCCCCCCACAGAGGCCAGGTGCCCCCCCGCCGGGCCCCCCAGGCTCCAGGCCAGCTGGCTCTGGCTGTGGGACGAGTAGAGGAGCTGGAGGGACTGAGAGGGGTCTGCAGCGGGGGGGCGGAGGACCCCCGAGAGAAGGAGGTCCACCCCGGAGGAGGAGAGGAGGGAAGATACCTCTTCAGCCGAGGAGCGCTCTGTGATGCCGATCAGGACCCTGCACACACATGAGGATTCATTTCATTATTATTTATTGTTTTATTCTTTATTTATTCCAAGATTCAAGGCTTTTATTGTCATTCGTGCGTTAGCTGTAGATCACAGGCTCCAACAGATCACATATTTAAATAGTGCAAGGAGTGTCTCTATACAAGTAATTAGAATATGATATACATCAGGGTATATGCAGGAATCCTGAAGTCACATGTAAGACCTTTTAAGACCTTTTAAGACCCTTTCCATACATTTCAAGACCTCATCTCCACTTTGAGTTTTAACCGGTTACCTTGGCAACACACTTTACCTCACATTGACTATATACAGTATTGATTGTCCTTCCTCCTTATCTTCCAACCATTTGGACGCAGACTTGCATTTCCCCATAACCATGTTGTTTAACAACCGGCGTAAACGGACCTTCGCGCGCTATCAAGCAGTGAGCGTGCGATGTCCTGTTCAGATGACGTCAAACCCAACGGGATGCCATCAATAAACTACACAGAATCACACTACACACCTACGCAATGATTACATTCAGGCAGACTGTAGAATACAACCTCTTTGGACAATTCATATACTTATTGAAAACAAGCTACAAAATGTAATACCTTGGAAAATGCCCTTTAATACTTTTTAATACTTTTTAATAGCCTTCATTTTCACTAAATTAATTTATCAACTTGTAATACTTTTTAAGACCCCGCGGACCCCCTGTATTAGAAACATAATTTGTAAGTTGCAAACAGATGAATGTTATGGATGATTTCTTTTTTGTATCTTTAATATTTGTTCTGCATGCGTCTTAGTTAAAGGGGACCTATCATGCTATATTTGAATAATATAGCATGATAGGTCCCCTTTAACATGAAGCTGTCTTCGGCTCTTTCCCCTCTGTGGGACGAATAAAGGGATTCTGATTCTGAAACTCCCTCTGGAGGGAACACGGGATTTTAGCCTCTGCAGACCATTTACATGCACTAAAATAAGATAAGAAGTACTTTATTGATCCCAATTTGGGAAATGTTTGCGTTGCAGCAGCATAAAGAGACAAGGCATAGAGAGTCTCAGTGACGCGTCCTGAACCCGGAAGTAAGTTAGCATTTTACCTCTTCCGGTTCCTTCAAAAAGCAATGAGATCTCTCCAGAGGGTTTAGGATAATATCTGTAACTAAGGTCTGTGGTTGAAACACATTGAAGAGACGGGTCACGTTCTGTTCAGCCGGATCATCTCCACACGTCTACCTACTTTGATCAGTTTCTAATCATAAATCTATCGCCATCGACATGTGGAAGGAACCGGAAGGACTTTACTTCCAGGTTTGAGGACACGTCACTGTGGCTCTCTATTGGACATTAGAGAAATTAAAAGACTATAAATAAACATCCCAACATGTGAACTTCTCAAATAGAAATAAAATAGCATTAAAAAGGTAGAAAATATACATGTTGAATTACACATTTACAGTAACAAAATATGAAGCAGGAAAAAAGACAAAACTCTATAAGACACAGGTCGCTGCTGCAACCGGCTGAACGAGCACCTGTAGAGCCCAGAGAACAGGGTCTCTGTAAAGTGTGTTCCCTGACCTCTTGTCGGGACCCTCGTCCGTCCCGTTCTGGACGATGGCTCGGATGTCGGCCCACAGAGTCGGCACCACGGCAGCGACCCGCTCCACCCCCGACAGCTGCACCCCGTCCACACCTTCCTTCATCCAGAACACCAGAGCAGACTGAGGACAGAGAGAGCTGTGAGAGACCAGCACTCACACGGCAACACTCTCTGGAGACAACCAGCTCTTAAAGGGGACCTATCATGCAAAATGCACTTTTTCATGTCTTCTCTACATCAACACGTGTCCCCGGTGTGTCCCCGGTGTGTCCCCGGTGCGTCCCCGGTGCGTCCCCGGTGCGTCCCCGGTGCGTCCCCGGTGCGTCCCCGGTGCGTCCCCGGTGTGTCCCCGGTGCGTCCCCGGTGCGTCCCCGGTGCGTCCCCGGTGCGTCCCCGGTGTGTCCCGGTGTGTCCCCGGTGTGTCCCGGTGTGTCCCCGGTGTGTCCCCGGTGTGTCCCCGGTGTGTCAGGGAACTCACGCAGCGTCAGAAAACCCTCTCTCTTTTCCTCCGTACCCAAATCTCTAAAAACGGGGGAACAACGGAGCTGATCCAGATTAGCGTCCGATATGACGTAATATCTGAAATGTGGACCCACGGCCCTATCAGAAACGTTGCTATCAGAAACAATGCCCGACTGTTTTGGACGTAATATGGTCGGTGTTTACATTAGCATCGCTAACACTCAGAGCTAACCTGTACTGGAGAGAGTATGTGTAAAAAATCAGGAAATAAAAGTTGTGTCTTGAAAAACATAATAATAACAACAGTAATACTTGTATTTATTTTATTTTGTCATTTTGTAAAAACATAAGAACATAAATAAAGTTATTCCTCAGGTCATTGTATTCACCTTGAGTCTCTCGGCCACGCTGGTCACACTGGTGTTGGAGAACCACGGTCCAGATGTTCCCTGATAGTTCGGAGTCAGATCCAGAACCACAGAGATGCCTGCAGAGACACACAGCATGTGTTCAACTCAAACCTCTTATTTATTTCTGCATGATGACGTTTTTTGTAGGCACATAGTAGAACAAAATGTGAAAATCTCTTCAGCTTGTGTTAACCACAGACCTTATTTTAAGCTAACAACTAAAAACACATACAAAAAAACTTCAAGACGAGGTGTTGGGAAAACACTGAATGTACTCTTCCAACATGAGAGTAACATGCTAACAAAGGTACCCCAACTGTAGCTGTGAACATGACAGGATGTATGATTACCTAGAAGAGCATCAGGACTGTTTGAGGCATATGATAGCTATGTGATTAACATGATGATTCAGCCTCTATGGAGATAGACATATGACAAGCATGCTCATTTCTGACGTGGAGCTAATCTGAAGTAAACATTGAATACTGCTTTCTATTCCTCCATCTTGTGACTGTGTAACTCCCTCTCTTGGATATCAGCATGTGAAGGACACTGTTCAGGAACTACTTGATGCTCTGTATGTGATGACTACTTCCAGATTTTGAGGAAAAGTTAGAATTTTGAGATTTTTAGAAAAAGTCAGAATTTTTAGGGAAAAGTCAGATTTTTGAGATTTTGAGAAAAAGTCAGAATTTTTAGATTTTTAGAAAAAGTCAGAATTTTGAGGGAAAAGTCAGATTTTGAGAAAAAGTCAGATTTTTGAGATTTTGAGAAAAAGGTCATAATTTTGGGAACATTTTTTAATTTTGAGGAAAAAGTCATAATATTTAGGAACAAGTCATAATTTTGGGAAAAAGTCATAATTTTGAGGAAAAAGTCATAAGTGGAGATTTTGAGAAAAAGTCAGAATTTTGATATATAAGGTATTCTGTATGTGATGACTACTTCCATTCTGGAGAGGATCAGAGATACATGGATCCTGAGATTGAAGCTCAAGCCGGGGACCAGTGATTATTAACATTTTTAAGTATTTTAAAAAAGTCATAATTTTGAGATTTTGAGAAAAAGTCATAATTTTGAGAAAAAAGTCATAATTTTGAGAAAAAAAGTCATAATTTTGAGAAAAAAGTCATAATTTTGAGAAAAAAGACATAATTTTGAGAAAAAAAGTCATAATTTTGAGAAAAAAGTCATAATTTTGAGAAAAAAAGTCATAATTTTGAGAAAAAGTCATAATTTTGAGAAAAAGTCATAATTTTGAGAAAAAGTCATAATTTTGAGAAAAAAAGTCATAATTTTGAGGAAAAAAGTCATAATTTTGAGGAAAAAAGTCATAATTTTGATAGAAATCAGATTTTTGATATTTTGATAAAAAGTCATAATTTTGAGAAAAAAGTCATAATTTGATAAAAAGTCATACTTTTGAGAAAAAGTCATAATTTTGAGAAAAAAAGTCATAATTTTGAGAAAAGGTCTGTATTTTGTATATGACAGGATGATTAACTAGTTGCATCTTGTGACTGTGTAACTCCCTCTCTTGGATATCAGCATGTGAAGGACACTGTTCAGGAACTAGTTGATGCTCTGGATGTGATGACTACTTCCATTCTGGATCAGAAACACATGGATCCTGAGATTGAAGCTCAAGCCGGTGACGAGTGAGATTTGTCTAACCTCAGGGAACGAGGAGTGGTAACATCCTGACTAATTTCCTGGTGTTAGGACTCATTCCTGCACCCCTCTTTACAGTCTGACTCCTGATAGTTCTCACCCTTCTTGTGCGCGGCCTGCACGAGGCTCTTGAACTGCTCCAGGCTCCCGGTCTCAGAGGAAACCTCTTCGAACCTCAGACTCATGGCATCGTCAGCCGGAGCGACGTGGACCGGCCCGAGCACCAGGCCCCGGACCTTCAGCTGAGACAGACTGCTGATCTTCTGCTCCACACCTGAGGGGGGGGGGACAAAATGTCTTATTATCTTATATTAAAGGTCACCTATTATGCAAAATCCACTTCTTCATGTCTCTTCTTCATCAACATGTGTCCCCTCTTCTTCATGTCTCTTCTACATCAACATGTGTCCCCTCTTCTTCATGTCTCTTCTTCATCAACATGTGTCCCCTCTTCTTCATGTCTCTTCTTCATCAACATGTGTCCCCTCTTCTTCATGTCTCTTCTTCATCAACATGTGTCCCCTCTTCTTCATGTCTCTTCTTCATCAACATGTGTCCCCTCTTCTTCATGTCTCTTCTTCATCAACATGTGTCCCCTCTTCTTCATGTCTCTTCTTCATCAACATGTGTCCCCTCTTCTTCATGTCTCTTCTTCATCAACATGTGTCCCCTCTTCTTCATGTCTCTTCTTCATCAACATGTGTCCCCTCTTCTTCATGTCTCTTCTACATCAACATGTGTCCCCCTCTTCTTCATGTCTCTTCTTCATCAACATGTGTCCCTCTTCTTCATGTCTCTTCTTCATCAACATGTGTCCCCTCTTCTTCATGTCTCTTCTTCATCAACATGTGTCCCCTCTTCTTCATGTCTCTTCTTCATCAACATGTGTCCCCTCTTCTTCATGTCTCTTCTACATCAACATGTGTCCCCTCTTCTTCATGTCTCTTCTACATCAACATGTGTCCCCTCTTCTTCATGTCTCTTCTTCATCAACATGTGTCCCCTCTTCTTCATGTCTCTTCTTCATCAACATGTGTCCCCTCTTCTTCATGTCTCTTCTTCATCAACATGTGTCCCCTCTTCTTCATGTCTCTTCTTCATCAACATGTGTCCCCTCTTCTTCATGTCTCTTCTTCATCAACATGTGTCCCCTCTTCTTCATGTCTCTTCTTCATCAACATGTGTCCCCTCTTCTTCATGTCTCTTCTTCATCAACATGTGTCCCATCTTCTTCATGTCTCTTCTTCATCACCATGTGTCCCCTCTTCTTCATGTCTCTTCTTCATCACCATGTGTCCCCTCTTCTTCATGTCTCTTCTACATCAACATGTGTCCCCTCTTCTTCATGTCCCCTCTTCTTCATGTCTCTTCTACATCAACATGTGTCCCCTCTTCTTCATGTCCCCTCTTCTTCATGTCTCTTCTACATCAACATGTGTCCCCTCTTCTTCATGTCTCTTCTTCATCAACATGTGTCCCCTCTTCTTCATGTCTCTTCTTCATCAACATGTGTCCCCTCTTCTTCATGTCTCTTCTTCATCACCATGTGTCCCCTCTTCTTCATGTCTCTTCTTCGTCACCATGTGTCCCCTCTTCTTCATGTCTCTTCTACATCAACATGTGTCCCCTCTTCTTCATGTCTCTTCTTCATCAACATGTGTCCCCCTCTTCTCCATGTCTCTTCTACATCAACATGTGTCCCCTCTTCTTCATGTCCCCTCTTCTTCATGTCTCTTCTACATCAACATGTGTCCCCTCTTCTTCATGTCCCCTCTTCTTCATGTCTCTTCTACATCAACATGTGTCCCCTCTTCTTCATGTCCCCTCTTCTTCATGTCTCTTCTACATCAACATGTGTCCCCTCTTCTTCATGTCCCCTCTTCTTCATGTCTCTTCTACATCAACATGTGTCCCCTCTTCTTCATGTCTCTTCTTCATCAACATGTGTCCCCCTCTTCTTCATGTCTCTTCTTCATCAACATGTGTCCCCTCTTCTTCATGTCTCTTCTTCATCACCATGTGTCCCCTCTTCTTCATGTCTCTTCTTCATCACCATGTGTCCCCTCTTCTTCATGTCTTCTACATCAACATGTGTCCCCTCTTCTTCATGTCCCCTCTTCTTCATGTCTCTTCTACATCAACATGTGTCCCCTCTTCTTCATGTCCCCTCTTCTTCATGTCTCTTCTACATCAACATGTGTCCCCTCTTCTTCATGTCCCCTCTTCTTCATGTCTCTTCTTCATCACCATGTGTCCCCTCTTCTTCATGTCTCTTCTACATCAACATGTGTCCCCTCTTCTTCATGTCTCTTCTTCATCAACATGTGTCCCCTCTTCTCCATGTCTCTTCTACATCAACATGTGTCCCCTCTTCTTCATGTCCCCTCTTCTTCATGTCTCTTCTACATCAACATGTGTCCCCTCTTCTTCATGTCCCCTCTTCTTCATGTCTCTTCTACATCAACATGTGTCCCTCTTCTTCATGTCCCCTCTTCTCATGTCTCTTCTACATCAACATGTGTCCCCTCTTCTTCATGTCCCCTCTTCTTCATGTCTCTTCTACATCAACATGTGTCCCCTCTTCTTCATGTCTCTTCTTCATCAACATGTGTCCCCTCTTCTTCATGTCTCTTCTTCATCAACATGTGTCCCCTCTTCTTCATGTCTCTTCTTCATCACCATGTGTCCCCTCTTCTTCAATGTCTCTTCTTCATCACCATTTGTCCCCTCTTCTTCATGTCTCTTCTACATCAACATGTGTCCCCTCTTCTTAATGTCTCTTCTTCATCAACATGTGTCCCCTCTTCTCCATGTCTCTTCTACATCAACATGTGTCCCCTCTTCTTCATGTCCCCTCTTCTTCATGTCTCTTCTACATCAACATGTGTCCCCTCTTCTTCATGTCCCCTCTTCTTCATGTCTCTTCTACATCAACATGTGTCCCCCTCTTCTTCATGTCCCCTCTTCTTCATGTCTCTTCTACATCAACATGTGTCCCCTCTTCTTCATGTCCCCTCTCTCTTCATGTCTCTTCTACATCAACATGTGTCCCCTCTTCTTCATGTCTCTTCTACATCAACATGTGTCCCCTCTTCTTCATGTCTCTTCTTCATCACCATGTGTCCCCTCTTCTTCATGTCTCTTCTTCATCACCATGTGTCCCCTCTTCTTCATGTCCCCCTCTTCTTCATGTCTCTTCTACATCAACATGTGTCCCCTCTTCTTCATGTCCCCTCTTCTTCATGTCTCTTCTACATCAACATGTGTCCCCTCTTCTTCATGTCTCTTCTTCATCAACATGTGTCCCCTCTTCTTCATGTCTCTTCTTCATCACCATGTGTCCCCTCTTCTTCATGTCTCTTCTTCATCACCATGTGTCCCCCTCTTCTTCATGTCTCTTCTACATCAACATGTGTCCCCTCTTCTTCATGTCTCTTCTTCATCAACATGTGTCCCCTCTTCTCCATGTCTCTTCTACATCAACATGTGTCCCCTCTTCTTCATGTCCCCTCTTCTTCATGTCTCTTCTACATCAACATGTGTCCCCTCTTCTTCATGTCCCCTCTTCTTCATGTCTCTTCTACATCAACATGTGTCCCCTCTTCTTCATGTCCCCTCTTCTTCATGTCTCTTCTACATCAACATGTGTCCCCTCTTCTTCATGTCCCCTCTTCTTCATGTCTCTTCTACATCAACATGTGTCCCCTCTTCTTCATGTCTCTTCTACATCAACATGTGTCCCCTCTTCTTCATGTCTCTTCTTCATCACCATGTGTCCCCTCTTCTTCATGTCTCTTCTTCATCACCATGTGTCCCCTCTTCTTCATGTCTCTTCTACATCAACATGTGTCCCCTCTTCTTCATGTCCCCTCTTCTTCATGTCTCTTCTACATCAACATGTGTCCCCTCTTCTTCATGTCCCCTCTTCTTCATGTCTCTTCTACATCAACATGTGTCCCCTCTTCTTCATGTCCCCTCTTCTTCATGTCTCTTCTTCATCACCATGTGTCCCCTCTTCTTCATGTCTCTTCTACATCAACATGTGTCCCCTCTTCTTCATGTCTCTTCTTCATCAACATGTGTCCCCTCTTCTCCATGTCTCTTCTACATCAACATGTGTCCCCTCTTCTTCATGTCTCTTCTACATCAACATGTGTCCCCTCTTCTTCATGTCCCCTCTTCTTCATGTCTCTTCTACATCAACATGTGTCCCCTCTTCTTCATGTCCCCTCTTCTTCATGTCTCTTCTACATCAACATGTGTCCCCTCTTCTTCATGTCCCCTCTTCTTCATGTCTCTTCTACATCAACATGTGTCCCCTCTTCTTCATGTCTCTTCTTCATCAACATGTGTCCCCTCTTCTTCATGTCTCTTCTTCATCAACATGTGTCCCCTCTTCTTCATGTCTCTTCTTCATCACCATGTGTCCCCTCTTCTTCATGTCTCTTCTTCATCACCATGTGTCCCCTCTTCTTCATGTCTCTTCTACATCAACATGTGTCCCCTCTTCTTCATGTCTCTTCTTCATCAACATGTGTCCCCTCTTCTCCATGTCTCTTCTACATCAACATGTGTCCCCTCTTCTTCATGTCCCCTCTTCTTCATGTCTCTTCTACATCAACATGTGTCCCCTCTTCTTCATGTCCCCTCTTCTTCATGTCTCTTCTACATCAACATGTGTCCCCTCTTCTTCATGTCTCTTCTTCATCACCATGTGTCCCCTCTTCTTCATGTCTCTTCTTCATCACCATGTGTCCCCTCTTCTTCATGTCCCCTCTTCTTCATGTCTCTTCTACATCAACATGTGTCCCCTCTTCTTCATGTCCCCTCTTCTTCATGTCTCTTCTACATCAACATGTGTCCCCTCTTCTTCATGTCTCTTCTTCATCAACATGTGTCCCCTCTTCTTCATGTCTCTTCTTCATCACCATGTGTCCCCTCTTCTTCATGTCTCTTCTTCATCACCATGTGTCCCCTCTTCTTCATGTCTCTTCTACATCAACATGTGTCCCCTCTTCTTCATGTCTCTTCTTCATCAACATGTGTCCCCTCTTCTCCATGTCTCTTCTACATCAACATGTGTCCCCTCTTCTTCATGTCCCCTCTTCTTCATGTCTCTTCTACATCAACATGTGTCCCCTCTTCTTCATGTCCCCTCTTCTTCATGTCTCTTCTACATCAACATGTGTCCCCTCTTCTTCATGTCCCCTCTTCTTCATGTCTCTTCTACATCAACATGTGTCCCCTCTTCTTCATGTCCCCTCTTCTTCATGTCTCTTCTACATCAACATGTGTCCCCTCTTCTTCATGTCTCTTCTACATCAACATGTGTAAAGAGATGATCCATTTCTATAAAAACCTGTCTGAAAATGAGCTGATCAGATTTTGGCCACTTGATGATGTCATCACGATGTTTTGTCTTGTGTAACCATTAGCCAATCAGCAACCAAGGTAACCCCCCCCCCCCCCCCCCCCCCCCCTTATCACCTGAATCTCCTCCTAGAGCACCATTGAGTTCTTTGTAACCAAATGTCTCTCAGAGGGGCGTGGGGAGGGGCTCCTTATTTTCATCTAAAGTAACAGACTGTGGCCGTTTCTCAATCTCGAGTACGCTTGCTTGGTCGCACAGCCGAGCCGAGCATCTTGCTTCAGAAGCGAGGCAAGAATACTTCCTGGCATTCGGAAAACGAAGAGTGGAACAGGCTAGCAAGTGTGCAGGTGTGCGTCATCTGAGAGGCCCCGCCTCTTACATCTTCCGCCACAGATTTGGGGAAATTGGTCCGTGCGCAAAGCATTGTGGGGATTTTAAGGACGCGAAGTCTACTCATGTGCAGCCTCGAAATTTCCCCCAAACCAAGGACACGGCCTCTGTGGAATTCCGAGTATGCTGGAGATTGGAACAGTCCTTCGGCGGCACTCGATGACGTAGCATCCTTAAAATATTGGCTTGGAAGCCAATATCCTCGCGATTGAGAATCGGCCACAGAATCAGCACTTTTGAAACAGGGCTGAAACAGAGGGGATTATGGGATGCTGCAATGATCTGTTTGGTGTTTCAGCCAATCAGAGACAGGCTCTGCATATATATGAGACCTGTAATATATTGATGCAAAACAGTATCATAGGGACCTTTAGGGGACTTTGAAAACCAAACTGTCTCAGTGTCTCCCAGAATGAACCTCTCGCTCCTCCTCACCCTTCAGGTCCCGGGTGTCGCTGAAGGCCTGGATGTCTCCCACCTGGTACAGCGGACCCTCGTTCCACCAGTTGATGGCGGGAAGGTCTCTGCAGCGCGGCGCCTGCAGCACGATGAGCACTGCTCCACCCAGCATGCCCAGCCAGCCCAGCCAGAAGACCACCAGCAGCGCCCAGCGGGTCCGCACCCAGCTGAGGAACCACAGGAGCATCAGAACCATCACACACACACACACACACACACACACACACACACACACACACACACACACACACACACACACACACACACACACACACACACACACACACACACACACACACACACACACACACACACACACACACACACACACACACACACACACACACACACACACACCTCCCCTCCAATAACAGGTATTCTAATAGTAAAGCCTCAAAATAAGACGAGATAAAGGATTCAGACTTGCACTTCGTTAATGCCGCCATATTAACCAACATATGAATATATAAAACATACTGTATATCAGTTTTTTACAATATAAATGTTTGTATGGATGGTAGAGGTGTGTATAAGGATGCTTTATTGTCCAACTCTGCCTGTATGTAGGCCAACTGATTCATTCATTGTGTGTGAGGGGCCTGCTCACCCCGGAGTGCCAGCCACCCTCATCAGTTCCTCTTTACTCAGCCCGGTGAACTTCACCTCCTCCGGCTCGTCCTCGGGGATCTTCAGCTTCACGGAGCCGTTCTTCTCACCCACGGCTCCCGGTTCTGCTCCCCCGGCAGAAGGTGCCTCCACGGCCCGGTCTCCCTCTCCCCCGGTCATCGGTAGCTTCTCCTGCTCCTCCTGGTCCAGATCCGCTTCACTCACATCGGCCTCCGTCGCATCAGCATCCGCGGCGACCGGAGCGCAATCCTCAGCCTCCTCCTTCTCTTTCGGCGTAGCATCTTTGGTCTCCATCTCCTTCAGGTCCACGTTCGTCTCCTCGGTGGTCATACCGGCGACTGTCCGTTAATTTACCGTTATTTAATCTAATGTAAGAACCCGGTGAATCCCAGTGCTGCACGTTGAGAGGTGGCCGTGATGTCTGTCTGTCTCTATGGTCTGTCTGGAACACTGAAGACAGGTGGTGCGTTCAACGCTGTGGGAAATATGGAAACTCGTGTTGACCGCACAATTTTAAAATATCAGTTTGAAGGCGAAACGAATTCATGGTTTCCCGTGAAAACAGAGTCCTAGCTTTACCTTTCTGAGTAGATGTGTACACGATGTTTTTTAAGCAACACACTTAAATAAATACATGTAAGAAATAACAAGATTAAGTGAAGTTTGCGAGCAGAAACGTGAACCTCAACCTTTGAGTCTAAAGGAAACACTTAGATCTACACACCCGAGGACAATAAAGTCATAAAAGTCCATATTTGATCTTGTCTTGTTGTAGTTTTTAAGAGATAAAGAGATTGAAGGGAACGTTTTGAACACAGTGAGAGGCTCCACTCGGCAGCTGCAATACCACCAGCGGCCATGGCGGCGCTGTGTCGCCTAAACCAAATCTTTGAAAAATCATATAAAATCATTAAAATATGATAAAATATGGCAATATATGCCTTCTGCTGTTCTTCTATGCATGTTCCAAATGTCTGACCAATGGCTGTCCAGGCTTGGTTCCATCTTTCGCCCAATAGGGAGGCCGGATATGTTCCATAAGAGAGAATCAAACTTTCGGGGCTTTTGGCGTCCAATCGGTGAGGCGGATTTGTTCCAAATTCTCAGCAATCTCTCCTCCGTCCGCCATTGTTTTTTCACACTGATTGACTTCAACAAAGCGACACTGTGAGTAAAATGTGCATTAATTATTAGCAAATACGCGTGTAAACACTGTTACAAACGCACTTCTATGTCCGAGATTAGTCATACTGAGTTAACCGTGGTGTTTGTGCGGTACTTTGTGAACAGCTGATGAACTGCTGTGTGTGTTTACCTTTAGCTAGCGGCCAAGCTAGTGGGACGCTACGGAGCCCAGCTATCCGCCCTCTGAAGCTTTTAGGGCCGACAGGTTGAGGAGGATGTCCCGCTCCTGTGTGTGTGTAACGGAGCTCAGATGAGAGGGCTCTGATTACAGTTTTAATCCTCTGTCAAACTGCATGTTTTCTGCCATATTTGATGAGAGATAAAATGATTTTCTGCCACAGGAGTTTGACAGAGAATAACTGAAAAAGTACACAGTAAAATAACTCATGGCCACTGAGTACCTGGAGTGCCGATGAACACAGATTCTGTGTTCAATAGAGAGTGCATCAATAATGATAATAATAATAATAATAATAATAATAATATGTATTCAAGACTCTTTGCTCACAGCAGCATTTCTCTCCTCCTCCCTCCTTCCTTTTCTCCTCAGGAGGAGATGCAGGGTCCTGATGGCCAGCCAGGATACCAGCATGTCCTGAAGCTGGCCAAGGCCCTGCTGGAAGCCAGGAGCCTTCAGGGGCTTTCTGACAAGAGGGTGGACGAACTCATGGCCCTCTGGCAACGCCTGCCCGAGCCGGACAGGCGACGAGTCGTCTACCCTCCCAGACACCGGGAGAGGCAGCTGAAGGGGCGGTTCAATGATAGCACTTTTTTCTTTAATTGTCTTTTATCTTTATTTATTTAAATCTATTTTAAAATAAAAACTCTGAACTGAACTTTGTGTGGAAACTTTATTTAGAATTCATTACATGTCGTCTGATATTTCACTGCAACACGGGTCAATAAAACACAACATGGTGCATAAATAAGCACAGTAGAGATGATGAGATGATACACACACACATATATATATATATATATAATATATGATGCATCATAATACAGCTCTGTAGTACAAACCTTTCTTTAATCAAATCAGTGTTATTGATTCAGATGTTATCTCACAGCACTTTACAGATACCGTACTCATTGTAGTTTATTACAATCATCATCATTTACCAAAACCCCCTGTTTCAGAGTCACTATGTGTCAGTCAGTGCTGGCTGTCATGGCTGAGAGGGGAGCTCTTCCCCATCTCTGCCACAGCTGGGGATCGAACCGCTGACCTTCCGCTCCCCACAGGCCCACTTCCCTCTCCTTGCCCCCCTGCTTTCACAGAGAAGAATGGGCAGTATCCACCTCCTTCAGATCCACGTTCGTCTCCTCGGTGGTCATACCGGCGACTGTCCGTTAATTTACCGTTAATTAATCTAATGTAAGAACCCGGTGAATCCCAGTGCTGCACGTTGAGAGGTGGTCGTGATGTCTGTCTGTCTGTAACACTGCAGACAGGTGGTGCGTTCAACGCTTTGGGAAATATGGAAACTCGTGTTGACCGCACAATTTTAAAATATCAGTTTGAAGGCGAATCGATTTCATGGTTTCCCGTGAAAACAGAGTCCTAGCTTTACCTTTCCGAGTAGATGTGTACACGATGTTTTTTAAACAACACACTTAAATAAATACATGTAAGAAATAACAAGATTAAGTGAAGTTTGCGAGCAGAAACGTGAACCTCAACCTTTGAGTCTAAAGGAAACACTTAGATCTACACACCCGAGGACAATAAAGTCATAAAAGTCCATATTTGATCTTGTCTTGTTGTAGTTTTTAAGAGATAAAGAGATTGAAGGGAAAGCGTTGAACACAGTGAGAGGCTCCACTCGGCAGCTGCAATACCACCAGCGGCCATGGCGGCGCTGTGTCGCCTAAATCAAATCTTTGAAAAATCATATAAAATCATTAAAATATGATTAAATATGATTAAATATGGCAATATAGAACGCTTCACGAATTTTTTCTCTGTTCCAATGTTCCAATTTCTGACCAATGGCTGTCCAGGCTTGGTTCCATATTTCGCCCAATAGGGAGGCCGGATATGTTCCATAAGAGAGAATCAAACTTTTGGGGCTTTTGGCGTCCAATCGGTGAGGCGGATTTGTTCCATAATTCTCAGCAATCTCTCCTCCGTCCCCCATTGTTTTTTCACACTGACTGACTTCAACAAAGCGACACTGTGAGTAAAATGTGCATTAATTATTAGCAAATACGCGTGTAAACACTGTTACAAACGCACTTCTATGTCCGAGATTAGTCATACTGAGTTAACCGTGGTGTTTGTACGGTACTTTGTGAACCGCTGATGAACTGCTGTGTGTGTTTACCTTTAGCTAGCGGCTAAGCTAGCGGGACGCTACGGAGCCCAGCTATCCGCCCTCTGAAGCTTTTAGGGCCGACAGGTTGAGGAGGATGTCCCGCTCCTGTGTGTGTGTAACGGAGCTCAGATGAGAGGGCTCTGATTACAGTTTTAATCCTCTGTTTTCTGCCATATTTGATGAGAGATAAAATGATTTTCTGCCACTGGAGTTTGACAGAGAATAACTGAAAAAGTACACAGTAAAATAACTCATGGCCACTGAGTACCTGGAGTGCCGATGAACACAGATTCTGTGTTCAATAGAGAGTGCATCAATAATGATAATAATAATAATATGTATTCAAGACTCTTTGCTCACAGCAGCATTTCTCTCCTCCTCCCTCCTTCCTTTTCTCCTCAGGAGGAGATGCAGGGTCCTGATGGCCAGCCAGGATACCAGCATGTCCTGAAGCTGGCCAAGGCCCTGCTGGAAGCCAGGAGCCTTCAGGGTCTTTCTGACAAGAGGGTGGACGAACTCATGGCCCTCTGGCAACGCCTGCACGAGCCGGACAGGCGACGAGTCGTCTACCCTCCCAGACACCGGGAGAGGCAGCTGAAGGGGCGGTTCAAGACAGCGAAGGGGAAGAACACCTCCTGTCCTGGGAAGGAGAGTCTCCAACGGTAAGACTTGCTTCAAATATTCCTGTTTCCTGTACTAAATATTGGCTGCGTATTAACCCTCACTGTCCTCTCCGTGACTCAGCTGTCTTCTCGGGTTTGTCTTACAGGTTCTCTCGGCAGTACAGGTGGGACAAGGACAGCCCTTCAATTACAACATCCCGGAGGTGCCGGGACCTTCAGGGGTGGGTCTGCCTGCCTCATCTGGCCACATCCCCCCTCCTCCTCCTCAGACACTGGTCCCGGCTGTCCCTCTCATGGCTGCCCCTGCTGCTCAGCCTCCTCCTCTTCGTGTGCCCAGGACAACAGCCTACAGGAAGAGGAAGGCGGCGGAGGCTGATGCTGCAAGGGGCGGGCCGTCGCCCGGGAGCAGACAGGTCAGTACACCTGCAGCAAGTGTGGCCAGGCCAAGAGGATCAACACTGGCCACACTCGCATTGCAGGTGTGTCTTACTGTGCGGCTGCCGGTGGGAAAACTGGCGGGAGGAGATGAAAAGACTCAAAAGGGACCCAGAGGGGGGGGGGAAATGATAGCACTTTTTTCTTTAATTGTCTTTTATCTGTATATATTTGAATCTATTTTAAAATAAAACTTTGAACTGAACTTTGTGTGGAAACTTTATTTAGAATTCATTACACAACGTCTGACATTTCACTGCAACACGGGTCCATAAAACACAACATGGTGCATAAATAAGCACAGTAGAGATGATGAGATGGTATACCGTACTCTTTGTAGTTTATTACAATCATTCTCATTTACCAAAACCCCCTGTTTCAGTCAGTGATGGCTCTCATGGCTGCCCCTCCTCCCCCTCCTCCTCCTCCTCCTCGAACTCAGATCCAGAGAGCAGTTTACAACCAAAGACTGAGGACGACACTGGAGACTCTTCTGAACCTGACGCTGAACACAGTGCTGATTGGAAGGAGACCAGAGAACCTGCCTCAGGCTCAAAGTCACTGAAAAATAGACAAGAATCTGTCAGTGATCCACGACGTAGTGCTGAAAAGAAACCCTTTGGCTGCTCAGTCTGTGAGAAAGCTTTTTCACAGAATATACATTTATATATTTATAATTTATATTTTTAAATAAAACTCTGAACTGAACTTTGTGTGGAAACTTTATTTAGAATTCATTACGCAACTTCTGATATTTGACTGCAACACGGGTCAATAAAACACAACATGGTGCATAAATAAGCACAGTAGAGATGATGAGATGATGAGATGATACACACACA